AACAAGGATGGGGACAGGGAGCATAAGGAACCTGCTCTGTCTCAGAGCTGCACAAGGAGGGGAGGTGATGCCCTCCAGGATTTCCTCTGGCAGCAGAGACCAGTGTCGCCAGTCCAGGGCTGGAGCCCCTGCCTCGTCCCGCAGCCCCCCATGGGCACCCTCCAGCTCCTGAAAGCAGGATGCAAAGTCAGGGCTCTGCAAAGGGGCTGCAGGAGACAGGGTGCCAAGAGCCCAGCAGAGCTCTGGGGGCACTGGGATGGCTCCCCAGGAGCTGGTGACGTCTCCAGAATGTTGTAGCTATGGGGTTGTCCTGGGGATGCTGGAGTGGGAGAGTTTCGGGTAATAGGCAGGGAACTGCAGAGGTTGGCACCAGTTTTGAGTTAGGATCTTGTCCCCAGCACCAGACCCCTGCTCCTCAGCCCTGGAGCTGGCATCCCCATCCAGCCTGGGCAGCTCCTGCAGTCAGGGTGGGAGAATGTGGGGGGCAACAGAGCCCTCGCTGCATCTGCGAGGGCCACGGGACCCCTTCCAGAGCAGCCCATCAGGATTTGTCTCACCGCCAGCACCATGGCAGGGCTGGGCCTGGGGACACGGCAGTTGCCACCTGCTCACAGCCAGGCTGTAATCCGCAGGCAGGAGGCGAGCAGCTGGTGGAGTCTCCCTGACCTTCAGGTGGGATTAGTCCCCATGGGAACAGTGGGGAGCCAGCAGGTGAGGCCACTGCTCTGGAGGCAGCGTGGGGACCGGAGCAAGGCTGGCAGGACACCCCAGCCTGGGAGCAGCCGGCAGCTCCAGGCAGGGGCTGCACAGGGCAGCTCCAGCACTGCTGGCAGAGGCTGGGCTGGTGTCCCTGGGGTGTGCAATGGTGAGCAGGGCTAGTGCGAGTCCCCCTGGCCACCCGGCTGTGCATGCGGATGGGGCCCGGAGGGGCTGTGGGCTGTGTGGGTCGCCCGCGGCAGGGCTGCAGAGCGGGCAGAGCACGCACGCACAGCGCCATGGGGAGGGGACAGCAGAGCACTGAGGGACGGCCTGATGGCTGCAGCTGGGAACAACGGGTGACCTGGTGGCCAGTGCAGGCTGGGCTGCCTGTGGGCCACATGTGTGCAGGTGGCATTGGGGACCGTGTGGATGGCCACCCCACCAGGCTGACTGCAAGGCTGGGCTAAGAGCATGCAAAACCTGGGTGCTCCTTGTAGGCATCCTCCCTGCCCTGGGGTCCCTGCTCATTTCTGGCTACGGACAGCACCTGGGGACTGTCAGTGTCTTGGTGGCAGTGCCCAGCAGTGCTCGAGCTGGCAGATCACATCTGCCAGCCCCTTGCCCACTGCCTCCTCACCCTGGGACTCATCCTGCCCTCGGCACGGGGCATGGCATGTGGGGTCCAGGTGGAGCAGCCATCCTGTCCCCCCACAGGAGCTCTCAGGGTACCTGCCGCAGCAGGGACAAGGGGTGTTTGCATGCGATGGAGGACTCAAAAGCAACATCAGCACCAGCCTGAGAGCAAGGCAGGGGAACAGGGGCTCTGTCTCAGCACCGCGGAGCTGGGGTGCCAGTGGCTGGAGCCTCTCCAGCACCTCCAGGCACAGGGCTGGGCAGCCCACGGCGTGTGTGTGAGTGCGGGGGGAGCTAATCCTGGCAACACCTGCCAGGCTGTTTGTGATCCCCAAGGTTTCCGGCTGCAGGGAGGGCGCAGGAGGGGTGCGGGTGCTGCCATGTGCGGGGCTCCTCGGGCGAGTGGGGGACACTGCAGACAGGCAGCGCATGTGTCTGCACATGCGCATGGTGCAGGGACCGCAGCAAGCCCCCCAGGTGTATGATTGAGGGATCCAGGTATGGAAATGTGGCCTTGGCCAGTCCTCGTGTGGCCTCAAGCAGCCTCAGAGGGGAACTGCTTGGGGAGGGAAAGGGGTTATTTGCATCCTTGCTGATGAGGATGATTTCCCAGGGAAATGAGGCTGGGGGAAGAGGGCGCTGGGAAAAGGGAGGTGTGGGGCTGGGTGGGGGGACCGACGCACTGATCTAATCAGCCAGACCCTGCAAATAAAAGCCACCTGTTTCTGCCCTGGCAGCAGGAAGCCATCCCCAGAGCAAACAGAGCACCAGGCAACTGGGAGAAAGGCAAACAGGGCCCGGCACCGGCTCCATCTGCTCCTGCTTGGCCCGGGCCCTGGCCCTCCAGCCCTCTGTGGTGACAGCGCAGCCCCTAGAGAGAAAGGGACAAGGGTAGGGGGCCTGTGAGGCTCGGGGAGGTGGCCAGGGCTCAGCCCACAGCATCTGCTGGAGCACAGGCTGCTGCGTTGACTCAAACGTGTACGGAATAGCACGTGTCACCGTGGACTTGTGCTGGGTGGGTATGGCACTGGCACCAGGATGCCCCTGCAGTGCCCATGTGCCCTCCCTCAGGGCTGGCTCCCAGCTGCTCCGTTCCCTGATCCATGCACTGGACCTAGGACTTGTGCTGGGCCCCAGGCATCTGGACCTAGGACTTGTGCTGGGCTCCAGGCATCGTGGGACCCGGGCTGGGTGCAGGGTGCTCACACGAGCTCCCGTGGCCATACCCGGGCTCCAGGGCCACTGGCCGCATGGTGCAGGGCTGGTACACCGAAACCCGATCTGTTTTGCTAGTGCTGGAACAGACTGAGCCGGGAGCAACGTGTGGCCCTTATTAAATTAGCCTATGCAGCAGGCCCTGGGCGAGCGCGCCCCGGCTCCCGGGGGGGG